TTGTCTGTCTCCACGTTTTAGTCTCTGTGAACAGAATTATTGCGTTCCTGCAATGCCTTAAGCACGGTGAAAGGCCAAGTTTCTGCCCTGACCTTTCTTTTTCAGCGACCTTTGGCGTCAAATGCCTTGGTTCGCACTTTTGTTCAGAGGGTTACACGTATTGTTCCTCCTGTTCGGTCCCGCTTGCCGCCTTGGGATCTGAATTTGGTGCTTTCAGTGTTGCAGGAGTCTCCCTTTGAGGGAAGTCCCGCTTCTGAGTCTGTTCCAAACGGTTGCCTTTTTGGTGGCCATCACCTCAGTGTGTAGAGTTTCATAGTTGGCATCCTTGTGTCGTAAGTCGCCGTTATTGTTGCAGAATGTTCTGCATCCTTGAATGTTCTTCCTACCTAAGGTGGTTTTGGCGTTTCATCTGAATGAGGTTGCCTTCTGTATGTCCGAAGCCCGTTCATAGGAAGGAGAGAGCGTTGCATTGTTTGGACTTGGTTCTCGCTCTCCGCTTTTATTTGGAGGCTACAGTTTCCTTCCGTGAATTGGATTCCTTGTTTGCGATTGCGGAGGACCGCAATCGATCTCTCGATGGACTTGTAACACTATTGTTCAAGTGTATGCCATTAGGGGGTGTGAGGCCTCTTTTCCTATCACTGCCCATTCTACTGGGGCTGTTGGGGCAGCTTGGGCTTTTTGCCATAGAGCCTCTGTCTCTTAGGTTTGTAAGGCCGCTACTTGGTCTTCTGTTTACACCTTTGCCAAGTTTTATAAGGTGGATGTTTTGGTGTCTGCGGATGCTGGCTTGGGGCGCAAGGTTTTGCAGGCAGCCCTTTAGTGGGGATTCTGTTGGGGATATTGCAGGCTTTTTTTTTTTTTCTAAAAAACAGCTGTTACCGCCAACACACAACTCCCGATCTGTCACAGGAGGCTGAGCGGTGCCAGGAGGAGAGATACCGACTGCTCACAGCGCGTTCTACCTCCTGTGACAGCTTCTCTCATACCCGCTGGGACACAGAACAGCGCCCAGCGGAGAGGAGAGAAATCGGAGATGCACCACTATTTCGGCCAAAAAATGGCACTTTCGACATTTTCGGCCTATATATTTCAGCGGCCGAAATTTCGGTGCATCCCTAATAATAAATACCAAATATTTGTACATTTTAAATTGTTCCTTTTTGTGAAGCCGTAAAAATTGAAGTTACGCAAAACTGTAAATATGCAACTTGTGCTAAAAATAGAGAGGTTGATTTCACACCTATGTGTTGTAGTAGCGTCTGATCTGCAGTGCCTTTTGATAAAATAATGCAGACATACATTTTACAATAAAGCATGTTACAATGCACGGCAATGCATCGCAACGCTTTTCCACGCACTACTACACACGCAGTTGAATTAAAATAGTTTAAAATAGTTTAACTCCCCTCACTGCTGCTGGCATAAGACATACGGTGGAACAATACCTCTTCCAGCTGGCCAGGTTGGTATGCCTTACGTCGGTTGCATTTATTGCCTTATGCTGACAAGCCGCTGAAGTCAAAATCAGGGTAGGGTAAACCCCCCTCTATGTCTTCAATCTCTTTCTCTAGCTCAAAAGGGAAATAGCAGCAGTGATCTTTCCCTAGAGCCTCCTGACAGTAATGTAAAACAAATAGGCATAAAAAAATTGTTAAAATATTTTTAAAAGTAATAAAACATCATTCTCTCCACACATAATATACACATGTACCAGTGGGCGTGCATTATAGTATGTGTATACAGGGCTAAAAATTTCCACTCGCCCCCTCGCAATTGGCGAGTGAAAATTGCGTGGGGGCGAGTGGAAATTCATCGGGGGGCAGGGTCGCCGCCGGCAGGACGATGGGGGAAACTGCCACAGCTTCAGCAGCGGCGATCACCTCTCTGGTCCCCTCCCCCCAGCCTGCCTCTCCCACCTCCTGTGGGCAGCGCCACTATGTAAACTGCAGAGTAGCGCTGTCTGCATAAAGAAGCAACACTTTACCCCTCTTCCCCAAAATGCCGGGCTGTCCATGGAGTCACACCTGAGTGATAGCTCCCGCCAGCTTTCTTATCACTCCTTCCCGGCCGCTGCTGTACTGATCAGCTAGACTGCGTGCATTGTGAAAGTAGCAGCGCCGGAGTAGATAAATACCCGTCGTGCAATACAGACCCTCTCCTCATGTCACTGCTGCCATCAGGCCTAACATGCTCCATCCAGAAAGAGGGAGAGTCCGAGCAGGGCCCTTCTCTCCAGGGCCCAGGGGTATTTCATAGGACGGCTTTTGGGCTCTACACACTGACAGTGGTGTATGAGGGCAGCTACACTGCCTGCTTCCACTAAGGTGCAGGGCAATCTCTGGGATCACTCTGTCCTGCATCCTCATCTTCCACATGACCATCTTATGTGTAGCTGAATTGCTGGAGCACTACAACTCCCAGCATGCCAGGAGCTGGCAAGGATGCAGTTATCACAGAGGAGCGAAGTATCCAATCCCATTAAGTGTGTGTGTACGCCAGCTGCTGCATTTAATTGGAGCAAAGAGGATGGAGCGCAGGATCTGTTGCCGAGAGCAACCAATCAGGTTACATAATTCATTCATACACAAGCGTGATCAGTTTTGCCGACATGTAAACACACACATGCATCTATCTGATGAACAGTATCAGTCATTCCTGGCTCAGTGAGTGCACTCCTTTTAGTAGGCCTTCTCCTTTCCCACAATGCTTTAGGCCTCATTCACACAGCGTTTATTCGGGCCATATACATCCGTGTGGCGTGCAAGGCCGTATCGGTCCGTTCCCAGAGGGACAGGTGCTGCGTTTGATTGCACACAGCAGCCTGTTCTTCCCTATGGACATGGAGGACACCACCAGGAGAAGAGGGCACCTGAATCAGGTCAGCCATGTGCACTGTACGTCCCTGTTATTTCTGCCTTAAACCGCTTGACCTCTGCACTGTGCGTTGTTACTGATCTCTGTACTGTGCGTCACACTGCTGACCTTTGTATTCGGCATTACATCACTGACCTCTGTACTCACACATGAGCTGTTTTAACCACTTGCTGACCGGGGTGTTAAACCGCCTTCATGTCCAGGCCATTTCTCAGTATTTAGAGCTGTGGTACATTTATTCAGTCATGCAGCACTGTACTGAAATTAATTGTATGCCATTTTTTTGGGGACACATAGTGCTTTCTTTTGGTGCTGTTTAATCGCCACTGGGGTTTTTATTTTTTACTATTTAATGAAAAAAGTACCGAAAATTTTGAAAAAAAAACTGTTTTCCCTACGTTATGCTATAAAACACTTATTACCCAGTTTTTTGGTAAAATATCAAAGATGGGGTCACGTCTGGTAAATAGACATCAAACATGTCAAGCTTTAAAATTGCGTGCGCCCGTGAAATCGCAAAAAAACTACCATACTTCAAATTGGCCATAGGCCACGTTCAAAAGCTTTTACCACTCATCAGTTTAGTGTTATCAGTGATTAATGGCCCTAGAAATATTGCTCACACTCCGACGCCCGCGGCGATATGTAACGTGTGGCATAATTATTGTTTTCGCACGTAGGCGCACCCGATGCGTATTTACGTTTATATGTGGGAGCAGGGGGACTTACATTTTTTTTAAAATTCTTTTTTATTATGAGCCTTTTTTTTTGTAATATGTGGCTCATTTTTTTTTTTTTACACTTAACGTTATTGCGATCACATAGGGGGGCTAATAATCCCCCTATGTGATAGCCAATATACAATGTCAGGTCCTCTTTACGGGGACAACAGGGGTCTCTAAGACACCTAATGTCACCTTGGGACCCCCAAAGAAGCTGATGAAGAGATCTGCTATAGCAGCCAGAGAAAACACAACTAAAGGCGGAAATGATGTAATACACTTCACTTCCTCCTTTAGGCTGGGTTCACACCTGGGTGTTTTTCAGCGCTGATCGAACGCCCAAAGGGCGAAATACTACTTGAGCTTTCAGCCGTATTTCAGCGCGTCTCCATTTCACTGCATTATCGGGATTTCGTAAACGCGTGTTTTCCGTGCGTTTCGTGGGCGCAAAATCGTGCGAAAGCTGATCTCTCCTCTTTCTTAGTATAGATAGCCGCTGTTCCGGTTCCGGACCTGCAGGGGGGACAGCGGAGCCTGGGATAACTGGCGGGGGGGGAAGCATTGTACGTCGTAATACAGCCGAACGCTTGTATGTAACAGCCGGTAAAAAAAATTACAAACAGGCGTGTCAACCTGCCGGGAAGCAACCGCCGTCCGCTCGTGTATTTACATTGGGCGCATAGCAAGCGGTTTACTAGGGATGCACCTAAATGAAATTTTCCCCAGTCATCTTCCAGGACAGCCATCGAGATATAGGCTCCGCCTGCCTGCAAAGAGACGTTAGCCGGGCACCATGTGGCCGTGGCCTCGGACAACGCCGCAGCAGTGGCCTACATAAACAGGCAAGGGGGCACGCGCTCGCACGGCCTCATGCAGTTGGCGACGAATATTCTAACTTGGGCAGAGCACACCCTCCTCTCGCTGACGGCGAGGCATATCAAGGGCAGCCTGAACGAGTTGGCAGATTCGCTCAGCAGGACGGAGCTGCACAGGTCAGAGTGGTCTCTGAACGCAGGAACGTTCGCATGGATCACCAGCTTGTGGGGCTGTCCCGAGCAAGCAGGCGGAGCCTATATCTCGATGGCTGTCCTGGAAGATTCCTGGAAACAGAGTTATCAGGTAATCAACTCATGTTTTTAGACATGACTAAAATGGGTTTTTTTCCCCCCAACCTTTTTTAAAATTCTTTTTACAATTTTTTTTTTTATTTTCACTGTTAGGGATATGGGGAAATATCCCTTTTTAAAACCGAAAGATTAAGGACACAGAGTCCTAAATCTTTTTCTGCAGCCCCTGTTATGAATGAACAGGAAGCCTCTATACAGAGTGCTCCTGTCCATTCATAAAGTGTGGTGACAGTATCAGTTACTATGTCCACAATCATGGAAGCACAGCCCTGCTCAGCATGTTGATAGCTTCTCTCCTCCCCGATGGGCGCTGGTCTGTGTCCCCTTCGAGCCCTGCTGCCGACACAGGCCGGGGAGGGGAGAAGCTAGGGATGCACTGAATTTTCAGCCACATTTTGCCTATAGTACCATTTTCAGCCCAAATGTTTCTGGCAAAATTTCAGTGCATCCTTAGTTGTAACAACACATCCCATGCTTGTTTTTTTAATTTTTTTTAACATTTCCGTTTTCACTTATTTTGTTTCTTGATTTGCTTTCATGGGTGTAATAAAAATAAATAAAAAAAGTCACTGACCACCAATGTCATGCAATTGTTTTGGGGGGATTTAAAGTCCAGTGATCACCAATGGGTGTTTTTTTTTTTTTTTTAATGACGCTGACTACCAATGGTTGTTGGATTGTCTTGTGCGGGGAGGGTCTAATGTGTTTTTTGTGTTTTTATCCATGACATCTAACCTAGCAATTTCAATACAATTTCAACTTTCTTCCACGAATAATTGAAGAATTGAACTTGGCTTCATTGGGTGAATATGAAGTGTGTTTCCACTTTTACAGTTAAATTTGCGGAAAACCAAAATATGTTTTAAATTATGTAAAATATTGTAAAAAAATATACTGTTTCTTCCCTTTTTAGCTGTTTTTATTTGGTGAAGGCCTTTGTGCAGATCCCAAGCTACACTGAGCAGTTTGAAAGTGAAAGAGGGTGATACTGCTGGACAGACTGAGCTTGTTCTCATTAACATATAGTGCTCCAAAGTTTTTAACCTTTTGTTAGATATTGTTCACATCTAGCTTATAACTGTTAATGAAATTTGCCAGCATAGGACCGGGTTAATTTCAGCAAACATAACCTCCCACAGCCTCCTCTTTAACATTGTATGGGGGGGAGGCGGGGAACTAGGTAGGATTTTTAAGCAAGAAAAAAACCACTTAAAGTGACATTAAACCCTCAGATTTTTCAACATAAACCAATACTGTAATGTGTGCCTTACTGTAATGCATGGTAGTTTCCCTTCTCTTTGCTGCTCTTTTTAAATCCTGTATCTCTTCTCACGCTTTGTGAGAACTTCCCTTTGCAGCTGAGTGCCTCTTCCTGTAGTGCTGGCTCAGGTTGCAAACCTACACACAGACATCATGTATCCATTTCAGAGACAGTCTGCTGCAAAACAGAAGTTCTGCCCAGCATGATGAGAACAGATACAGATTTAAAAGGAAGAGCAGCAAAGAGAAGGGAAACAACCATGGATTACAGTAAGGCACACATTACAGTATTGTTTTATGTTAAAAAATCTGAGGGTTTCAAGTCACTTTAAAGTAAGCAGAATTTAAAACTTTTTTTTTCTTTTTTATCCTTTTATATCAGTGGTTCTCAACCTGTTTAACCTCGGGACCTTGGCCATAAAGTCGCGACCCAAGTCGCACTGCAATGGAACATGGCATTAGGGTATTGCGTGTTTCTGTGCGGGTGTACGAACTGTGGGTGTTAGGTGCGTTTGGGGTACCATTCAAACGAATGACACCTCCCACACCAGAAAGCAGGGTAGGTGTGATTGCGTGGTACAGTTTAACGCGCTGTACTAGTGTGAACGGGCCCTCAAAAACACTGACATACATACACAGACAGACAGACATTCTCACACACACACACATTTTGTTTAAGGTCCACTCAGTCTCCCCACCTTACGTGAACTGGAGTAAATCCTCAGCCTGGGGTCCAGTGTGGGCTGCTGTGCTGTGACGGAGCTCAATCCATATGTGTATTGCTTGTACAGCTCCCTTAGGCACCCTGTAGAGGTATGGGGAGCCAGAATGTGACGTCACTCCGGTCCAGGCACCTCTACATGGTAAGTGAGGCACGAGAACTGACAGTGCTGTGCTAGGAGAAGGCAGAGGAGCCTTTCACCTAGAAAAGTGAAATGCATGCAGCGACCCACTGAACACAGGGTTGCGACCCACTTTTGGGTCACGACCCACCAATTGAGAACCAAGGTTTTATATTGAACAAAATAAAAGAACATAGTAAATATCACTGAAAGAAAGCTCTATCTTTCTAAAAAAAGATAAAAAATGAATTTGGGTATAGTGTTATATAGTGGAGAACTTCTACTTCAGTTCCCTCCTCTTCTGATTGACAGCAGGCACTAGGTGGGTGCAATAGCCAGCCTGCTATTGTAATTTAAAATAACCAATAGGAGGCTTGCTATTGCTCCCAGCCACTGCACGCTGTATTTACATTCAGCTGCCTCAGCAGGCAGCTGTCATTTTCCAGTGAAGTCTAATAGACCCCCTAATGCCACCTTTTAAAGAGAACCTGTCATCTCAAAATGTGCTATCACAGAATGGGCTTGCGAGCCCCTCCCTCCCATGTGATAGCAATGAAGTAAAAAAGCAGAGGTGCACCGATATGGATTTTAAAACCGAAATTAAAAACAAAATGTCAGACCGAAACTGAAAATGTTTTTTATTTTAACTTTTTCAACTTTCTTTTTTTTTGTGAGAAAACAGTTTATTGTTTTACACGTTTTAAGTACAAACAGTGCATCCTATTCGTGCCCAAAAAAAGAAAAAACATGGGCACTAGGCATAGAAATGCAGTTAACAAAACAGTGAACAGCAAGGGAAATTAAAAATAAAAGGGAAACATTAACACAGTACAAGTGGAGGGGAGCGTTTTCCAAGGTAGCTCACCTAGCGAGACAATGCACCCTATATATCATACATGGCTAAGACTCGGTAATAAGAGAAAAATAATAAAAGGTTTGATCCAGTGGTGGGATGTGGGACAGCCCATAGCCAGGTAACATAACATTGACACAAATATATCCATGTCCCATAGAGAAGACTAACAAGTCCCCAAAATCGTATGCATCCGTATCTACAGCAGAATCAGTACATTCCAACCAGCTTTCCCAGACTTTGTGAAACTTATCTGGACATCCTCTGTGGACATGTGTCTTGGTACAAGGGTAAGTTGTCATTAACCAGTTTCTTCCAGAAAGCCATAGTCGGAGGAGCAGGCTTCTTCCAGCACATAGCAATAGCCTTGCGGGCATAGAACAAAGTTAGGCCTAAAAGTGTGCGTTCAGAGTTGGTTGGAGCTAACTCCTCCACCAACCCCAGAAGGCACACGTTCGGCGACAGGGTCAGAGATAGAGAGGTGACCCTTGAAATGTAATCTATGCTGACCAGTTGCGTAGGCAGGAAATATTTATAAAAGTCCGGGAGCGCCAGAAACAAATTTTAACATTCATCTGGCACCCTCTAAGACCCAGAGTACCCAAATCCACGTTATATAAGCATAAAAAAGATGGAGGGATAGGCCTACCTAACATATTACTTTACTATCAGGCTTCTCAACTATTGCCCCTAATCACTATGCATCGGGAGACCAATACCCCTCTGTGGACTATGCTGGAACTCCCAGACTGTTCCCCAACCCACTCTCAGCTCTCCCGTGGTTACCACCCAATCAGAGACCCCCTACCCTTAGCCCCCTTATGAGACAAGCCCTAAAAGTGTGGGATTCCCTAAAATACTCAGCGGCATTAATGTCCCCTCACATGCCCCTTCTCCCTATCCTTTCTCAACCTTTGTTCCCCCCGGCATGTACTAACCCGGAGCAATTTAAATGGTGGAGCGCCAATGGGTTTATTAGGATTCATGATCTATTCAGTCACACTGCTATCCCCACATGGTCATACCTTAAAGAGCACAAACAAATCCCTGACGTGGAACTATTCCGTTATCTACAAATACGACACTGGGCGTCTTCATTACAAGAACGGAGACCCTCGAACAGACCCCTCACTAGCTTTGAGCATATATGCCTCCACTCCCCTGACGGACCCAAACAAGTGTTGCTAATATATTCCACGCTCAACTCCCTGAAGCGCCTTGACCTGCACACTTACCCTGCAAGGTGGTCTACTGACCTTAATCTTACTTGGACTGAGGAGGACTGGGGCAGGGTATGGAGGAACATCTCCCAATGCTCCTTTAATGTCACCAATATGGAAGTAGCTTATAAGGTTATGTTCCACTGGTACCTGGTCCCCACCCGCCTAGCCAAAATATACCCATCCTTGTCCACTG